ATAATTTAAAAACTACTAATTTCATGTTAATCATTTGTTTATTAAAATGAAATATAATTTTTCAAATTATAAAAACTATTATCACTGTTGTAGTATTTAATGTTTTACAATTAATATTTATAATTTCATAACAATTTTTTGAAATGCTTTAATGTATTTACTATCATTTTTCCGCATGAACATAGCACACGAAACTAGCGTGATGGAAAAGTGGACACTGAAATCGTACGTAATGCATCATTATTTTTTATTATCTTAGTATCTATGTTTATGCACTCAGATTTTGTCATTTTGCTTCATTCGTCTTGATATTACAATTCCATCATATCAATCAGCATCAAATTATTTTAATCTCTCAAAATATGATGGTTTATTACAAGACAATGACGCACTCGTTATTCTATAACATCAAATGCAGAATAGCGCTGAATAGTTGTTTCAATGACGCATTCTCTATTCCGCAGTCCTATTTTTCACTGTGTGATTTTACCCTTAATCGATGAATAAAATTTGATCAATCAGCGTTTCATAGTCAGATCTTATATTCAAGACCGTTTTAAGTATGGTCTTAAAAAGTCACGAACCAATCAGAAGACTGCATTAGCGTTTTAAGACATATTACTTAAGACGGTCTTGAAATAAGACTCAATTATGAATACCGGCCTTATTATTGTAAATCCTTAAAGAAAATTGACATCAGTAATATAAAACTTTAGTTGCTTCATCATCCAAAGATCTATTAGTTCCTGTGAGGCTTATTGTCGATCTTAGAACAGTTAGTTTTGTTCTAAATAGTACTGGACACATACAATTTTACAACATTTATACAAATAATCTGTTGTATAATATGCGTAAAATATTATTAAAGGCAGAGCAACATAAAAAGAAAGTTAGAATAAAAATAAATAAAAAAATAGTAACACTTAAACAAATTTTCTAGATCTCTTAATATAACTGCTCAAAATTTTTTGATCCAAGAACGCGATGTAATTGTCCTTTTCTTTCATTCCACGGAAAAGAAGAATTTCGATTGGTCGATTCTCTTATGCACTATGCGTTATGCAAGTCTGTGCTGCGGCCATAACATACCGGTTCTCCCCTTGCTTTTCGCACGGATGATTTAGTGGCATTTGATGTAACTCTCGATATTTCCGAATGATCTCACACTAGTGCACACCGAGTACGAGTATTTCCGAACGGCTGTTGTGTATTAGTGACAGTGAGTGTTTCTGAACGCAGCCCGAGTCGGAATGACAGATATTTTAACCTCTAACCCATGCTTATAAATCTTTCCTATGCATGTTGGACCACTCGTACATATGTCCGCTCTTCGAGCCTGAGGCTCCACCATTACCACCACGACGCAAGAGATAAAGAGATCTCTACTCACACCAGTATTAACAGAGAAAGAAACTTATCAAAATTTTCCTAGCGTCTATGGAAGAAAGATTAGACCAGAACGAACGTTATCTAGATGCACCCGTTTTAGCGTTATTCCTCAAAGGATATGTTTTATCACAGAGAGATTGTGATCTTGTAGCAAGTCTGTTTCCCGTCGCCATCCCTTTCCGCGATCACATATCAAATAATATGAGAAAAACAGTATATCACATACAATAAAATAACAATTAAGATTCCTTATATTTACAATTAATGAATAAAATATATTCAATGCTAGTAGGAATCTGCGCTGTGATTCGTACGCTAAATATTATATATAATAGTTTATAAATATAAAAAGTATTAGATCATCAATAAAATTATATATATAATAATGTCAAATAATGATAAAATGTGAGTTTCAACTAACTTTTAGCCTCCTTCAACGTTGTAAAAAACTTCCTATAATGGTAATAAAACGTAATAATCCGCCAACTCCCCCATGCTACTGTCGAACGGAATCGTGAACCATAACATTTTTCTTTTTCCAATTTTTTCTGTGGAATTACTCGTCTAAATAATTTTTCGTTAACCACTTGTTTTTGAAATAGTATTGAATATAAAATATAATAAATAATCATTATTTTCCGCTCGACAGTGGTGGGTGGAGGGAGGGGGGGGGGGAGTTGGAGGATTGTCAATGAGGATTGTACCATCCATTAACGCTGCATCCCGATCCTCCACACGTGGTAATTGAACAAGGAACATCGGAACCGATGCATGTGCATTGAGAACATTTATCCCTTACTATCTTTCTCTCTCGCACAGATTTCAGTGCGAGCCATGGGAAGTATAGACAATACCCCTTTCATTTATATACAATATGTTCTAAGGCTAAGGTAAAGCATACTCCATGGATCAATTAAGAACACGCTCCATTTGCCTTACCTCAGAAGATGGTACGATTGGGGCATGTCATGCACGCATGCGTAATGGTTGAAAACATTCTGTATTGAAAAAAATATTTCAGAATCATTTTATATAAAAATGCATTTAATAAATGCGTTTTTGATATAAATATAAAAATATAATATTAATAACAATATATTGGGTCATCTAAAAATAATACAATAAAATATAATACAATATAATATAAAAATATAATATAACTTTTATATAGAAAAATAGGCTCATGTAATGCAATGCAATAAATTAAAATGTCAAGGCTTTTTAAAAAAACGAGCAAATATAGTTAACTAATAAAATTCGTCTTTTATCGGATTGACTATTCTACATAAATTAATGTAAGTAAAAAATAAATTCTCATCAATATTGAATTAAATATAATTATTTTTTAATCAGAAATTGACATTTAATTGTACAGAATATAGTAGGATAGTCATTGATAAAATCCTCGTTCGGAATGATGTTTTATATCAAATTGTTGATTGAGTTGATTTTCGACCGATAACAACCGAAGAACCAGTTAAACACAATTTTATAATTATGGACTTTCAAACTTCTGACTTGATACTTATTTCGATCCGTAATATCTTAACGCAGGAATAACTAAATAAGATTAGCCTAGAGTGATAATTTTTATTATGTATCATATGTTAGTTGGTTGACATTGGATGAGGTTGCATAAATACGTTTTTTTTATTATCACTGATGAAGATTTTGTAAGTCGAAACGTTTGAAATTTATAGCTTTATACGAATGTAATAAAAGAATTTTATTAGTTAATTATATTTGTTCGTTTTTTAAAAAAACCTTGACATTTTAATAACTTTTATATTTATTAAAAACGCATTTATTTTGTATAAAAACGCTTTTCAAATAATCGAGGTAACACAAAATACCCGAAATGAAACGAGACACATGTCCAACCGTTCAAGTGATCTCACGGATTAGGTTAGATGATATATTCATTTGTGTCACTAAATTCGTTCGTGTCACTGAACATTGGAGCACATGAATGCAACTGCTCCAACCGCCATCTTACCTGTGATCCAAGTGCTCTCTGGGTTAATTTGGAGCATGCGACGGGAACAAATTTTATATTGGATCATCTAAAAAGTATCCACGATTTTTTGTCACTAAATAGTGTTGATGTCATATATCTAGTAACAAAGTACCGCGGATACTTTTTAGATGACTCAATATATCGCTCGCTGCTGCTCTCTGATCTCTCTTTTATGGGCGTCCCTAAGACTCTCTTCCATTGACCGTGCTTTATAAATGTGGGGAGAAGCGTCAGATATTGGATCATCTAAAAAATATCCTACTTTGTCACTAGATATATGACCATCAACACACATCTAGTGACAAAAACCGCGGATACTTTTTAGATGATCCAATACATTCCAAGAGATGCCCGCGTGTATCATTCAAGGCTGTTAGTCTATTCGGAAAAGTCATTGGACAAAAATGAAGTTATTACGGACACTCCTTTTATTCTGATTGATCAATCTTTTAATCTTCAATCTCATTCTTCAATGCGTAGTCTGATTCCAGCCAAGGATGAAATCAGACAGTGCGGAAAACAACTGTGGAATAGAGAATGCGTCATAGAAGCAATCAGCGCTATTCGGAATAACGCAGAATAGCGCTTAGTGATTGTTTCATTCTCTATTTCGCAGTTCTATTCCGCAATCAGCGCTATTCCGTACTTTTCCATCAGGTAAGTTTTGTATGCTATGTTCACATGATGCGTCAAATATGTATCTAGCATGAATATATTGGGTCATCTAAAAAGTATCCGCGGTTCTTTGTCACTAGATATATGATCATCAACACACATCTAGTGACAAAAAACCGCGGATACTTTTTAGATGACCCGATAATTTAAAAACTAACTTCATGTTTATAATTTGCTTATTAAAATGAAATATAATTTTTCAAATTGTAAAAACAATTACCACTGTTGTAGTATTTAATATTTTATAATCTGATAATAATTTTTTGAATTGCTTCAACGCATTTACTATCATTTTTTTCGCATTGTATAAATATAGCACACAAAATTGGAGGCCGATTTATCTTAAAACGAGATGAAAAAATAAAAGCGAGCAAATTTACTAGGTGACCAATGAAATATCAGTATTCTAGTAAATTCGTTCATTTTTGTAATTTTCACTTCGTTTCAAGATACAGAATCGATTCTCTGGTAATGGAAAAGTATGGAAAAGAGCATTCTCTATTCCATAGTCCTATTCCGCACTGTGAAATTTCACCCTAAGGATGAAATCACATGCGGAAAGGAATGCGTCATTGAAACACCAATTAGTGCTATTTGAAATAACGCAGAAGAATGTTGATTGGTTGCTTCTATGACGCATTCTCTACTTCACAGTCGTTTTTCGCACCGTGTGATTTTACCCTAATATGGTGGCAAGATTCTAATCCAGCTAGCAATCTAGCAGAAAAACAAGCATTGTGTGCCGCTGGCTTTATAGGCTGCGTTTCGTTTCACGCATGATGCGCATATTGCATTATTTATCTTTGTTATTCACCGAATATTAAACAAGGATAAATGATGCATCATGCGTGAAACGGAACGCAGTCATAGTCATGCTCCTTTGCAGGGGAAGGGAGGGGGATGAGAGTTCGGGGTGAGAGTCGCTTCGCGTGGAGAGTTGAAATCCATGTGGTGGATGTGGAATAGTACAATTATAGACCTCATTTTGTTTATGATTTCCTACTCTCAATAGTCAACTTTAACGCTTAATATCTGTTCGCGAGGCAGATTGACATTTTTTTCTGTCAGATTCTTTCATTTCATGCAAAAACGCATCGAATGAGCCTAATTGATTTTTGAGGTGGGGTAGCTAAACTATAATTATCGCATATACATGTGAGAATACGTGCATATACGTGAGAAGTATATAAATTTTGCAGTTTCTTTTTGTATATAATTATATATATTTTTTAAGCATCATGCCAAGCTGTTACATCAAAAATTGTACGAATCGTGTACGGATAAATGATATAAAATTTTTTAAATTACCGAAAGAATCTGTTGTTCGTCAGCAATGGCTGAAGGCCTGCGGAAAAAATGAAGGAGAATTACCTAAATCTGGTAAATTATTAAAATTTATATTAATATTTATTATCATGTAATTGTATTTTATATTATTTTGACAGATTAATAAATATATTACAAAATATAAATTTAATCTAAAGAGCTAATAAGTCTCAGAGTGTTAAAACGCTAGTTCATATCAAATCGATTTACACGAATTCCAATGTAATAAGAAGTAATAAGAAGAACTCTCTAGAATTATATAAACAATCTTTTAAACATTAGTTATACTTAATGTGACAATTGATATATAGCAAATTAAAATAATCTCAGAGACATATAAAAATTCTCACACGTTTATAAATTAGCAATGCAATTTATAAATTTGGATAACATACATTAATTATTTCTGTAGAGATGTTACCTAATGAATAAAATTGAAATATAAAATTCAAGATTTCGATTAATTGTAATTTAATTTTGATTTTTATGATTAAATATTTAAAGAAATTATTAGATACATATTCTGGAAATCTTTCTTTAATAAACTAAAATAAACTAAAGCAGGGAAATTATGTTATTAGTTTGTTATTTATATAACAAGAAAGTTAAGTTTATTAAAACATTGCTAAATTATCAGTTTAAAAATCAGTTTAAAAGGTCAAATTGTTTGTTTTTATAATGTTATGTTATAGATTTGGAAACTTCTTATTAAATTTCAATTCATATAAATCAATTTAAAACAAACCAATGTTTTAACACCCTGTGAGACTTATCAGCCCTTTAGATTAAATTTGATTTGTTATTTTTTTGAGTCTTGTGTGCATGTGGATATAGAATTTTTAAACTATAAAATATACATTTAGCAACGATATGTAGTATTCATTTCGAGGAAGACTGTTTTCGATGGACAAAGCCACAAGATAATATACCACCTAAGCAGATATGGCGATTGAAGGAAAATTCTGTCCCTACAAAATTGTTGAATATGAAAAAGAATGATAAAAGAAAAAATGATAATAAAAAAATAAAAGTGTAAGTATTTTCTTTATACAAAAAAATTTAGAGAAAGAAATATGTAATTTAATTGAATAAATTGGAAAAAAGTAAATGAGTACTTTTCTATTTTTCAGAGCAGGTGTACCAACCTATGGACAACTTGTGCAATATGCGCGAGAAAAACAGCATATACTTTCAGACGAAACAATTTGTATGGATACGAATATTTGTAAAGATGACTCCATTTTGCTTCCAAATGTTGCAATAAAAGAAATAACGTATGTAACAATTTAATCTATATTTGTCTAGTATCTTTCATTATACTATCTGCATTATATTAATGTTTGTCTTTTTTTTAATCATCATTTCTAAAGTAATCTATTATTATAATTTCTTTATTATAATTAATTATATAAATATAGGGTAACTCCGGCAGATACGCCGCGCTGGGATTTACGGAGCAGAAGTAAAAAAAAATAGGAGTGGAGATAATTTTCCCGTAACTACTTGTTACATGCCTTTATATTATATTAGTATTTTGTTATGATTTGAATTTCTTTAACATATTAATGAAATTATTGTGAATTATTGATTTGTCACTAAAATAAATAGCGCTATCATAAATTATAATCTACATGTAGGGCGTGTAAAAGACTTGGTGGTTATTTTGTGGTTATTTCGTGATACATAAGTGTAGAGGAATAGTAAAGCATGTTGTATAGCAAAATATAAGTTTTGCTCTTGTATTCTTTGTTTAATTTGTTGTCTTGTATATCCTTTCTGTTTGGGATATACCGCATTTTTAGCAGGCGGGATTATGTACAAAGTATACAAAGTGCGCAGATTGGATTCAGTGCACTAAATGCAATAAACACATTACATGAAATATATACCTCATGTAATAACACTTGTAATATACAGAGTGTCTCTTAAGTAAGGTCTGGGTATGCGCCGCATTGGGAGCATAGAATAAGTCAAGAGGAACGAAAAAATCTTATACCATTTTGAAATATCTGTAGAATTCGTAGCACGGCCCATCGCGCCTCACTTCATAGCGACGGCGCGCGCGCATGCACGCCGTGGGCTCATAAAATGAGACGCGATGGGCCGTGCTACGAATTCGCGCGGCGCGGCTTCATCGCACATTGGCTTAGACGTTTTCTTTTTTAATTCGAAAACTACAGCGGATATTTCAAAATGGTATAAGACGTTTTCATTCCCCTTGATCCATTCTACGCCCGCAATGCGGCCCAGATCTTACTTAAGAGACATCCTGTAGGAAGATTGTAATTATTTTCTGTTACTTCATATTTATCATTCTTATTTCTTAATAATACTTTGTAAACATATTTTATAAATTATTGTGTCATTTTACGTCTTATTTATAAGCATTATTTTGTGTAAAATTTTTCACGAGCTGTATGTAACTCATCTCCCGCTATGAGTAGCCGCATATTCCAACCCTATGGGATATAAATCCCACCGATACAAATAACACCGACAGTAGCCGTATACATACAGAATCCCGGCCGTGATTAATCAGGAGGGTTCTACCCTTTTGGAACATCAATAAATATTACAAAAAAGGACGTACTATTATAATAAATACAACAGAAATTAAATCAAGTCTTATTGATAATTGAAACTCTTGATTCTCAGATAAAATGTGGTAACGCTTGTTGTGCGGCGGAAGTTAATGCAATAGCCAATCATTCTTTCGCTTTTATGGAAAAGCGATAAACTGACTGGCTCTCGTGTCAATTTCCGCGACAAGCATTGCCGCGTTCTGTGTGAAAGAGCTGTAATGTTGCAATGGTTCTACTTGTAATTATTTATGTTACTGCAAGTAACGCTTTGAATATCCTCTCAGAATTAACAGAAGTTAATTTAGTGGAAGTTGAAAATGTTGTAACTGTTCAGTGAGTTGAACGTTCAATGAGCGGTTGCAAAAGAACGATATAAAAAAAACGCATACGGTTAAATGTATATATGCACATTGACAATTAATCATATTATCTACACACTTTTTTATATTATCTACACACATATATTTATAATGCTAATGCATTATCAAAAGCTTAATATACTTCTTGAGATGTATTTATAGAATAAATATTTTAACACATGCCATTAGATTTACAAAAAATTTAGACCTCTTTATTTTATAAAGGATTTGTCCCAGGGCGATTATATATTATTTTTTTATAAGTTAGTTATTTAAAGATTCTTTTGTACGGGAAGTTTAATATATTATGGAAAGATGATATATTACAATGCCATAATCGTTCAAAATGTTAAATAACTTTGTCCATTATTTATACTTATGACAAGTTTTGATAAGTTTTATGTACAGGTTCCTTTCTCTCATTATAATCTACATTAGTACTCTGGTTCATGAAAATTGACTTATACACATTCTTATTTCTTAAGAAATACACTGTACAAAAAATACAAGTCTATTATTTAAAAGACCTCAAGTATTCCTTATTTTGTTCTTTCGAATTCCTTCCACTTCAAAAAAATCCCAATGTATGTCCGCGTTTTATATGCTTGAGAAATGTTTGGAAAGTCTAATCTCTATTTCTAATGCTGTTATAAGCAATCACATCATTGATCGCCGAATATACATACATATTGAGTTTATGCAGAAAAATGAAAATGATGTTTCTAATTTTTTAACGCGACCAAGGAAATTACTTTTCGCTTATTCTGTACATCTAAGATTTAAATAAACTCATTTGTGTAAAGGAAAAGAATTGTTTTTCGCCGATGAAAGTAGGTGACAGATAATTATATATTATAAAAGTGCTTTATAGACGATATGTCTTGATAAAAGATAGGTAACGTGTATATCGTTTGTTTGGCAGTTAAAGATATGCAGTCGTCCCCAATTGAACGCGACGCGACAGAAAAGAGTTGAAATCTCTGCTGTGCGCTCGACTGCTTCGTAGATTTACCATGAGGTAGCTCGAGACTAACGGGTCATTAAAAAGTTAAATTACATTAGTAAAATCTGACTTACTAAACACAATCGATCCCGAATGGGAGATTCTGATTTTTCGCCGCGTACCCGCCGGAATACAAAAAATTATTTTTTTGCAACAAAATAATCGACTTTAAAATGTGATACATCAGGTGAAAAATATGTTAGCATTATTAAAATATCAATTATAATATAATGTAACAATTTTTAACATACGCCATATGTATGTACATATACTGACAAGGAATGATTCTGAGTTACACTAAAATGTAGCACTCCCATGTCTGTTAGTGTCTGTAATCGCGATAGGTATGAATCTATGTACTGCCATCATTAATGATGCATATACTCTCCATCTTGCCTTTTTGAGCGACATACTCCTGGCTATTTACAATTTTAACGGAGATTTCTATTCGCGCCGCCAAGTCGTACGTGCCCGCGCTGAGCAGCACAGCATGTAATTTCATGATATTACTTGCATGCGCTTCGATATCGGAATAAATTGACGAGTGGCCAGCATATTTGTAGTATGTCGAAGCTTGCGGTGAGTACAGCTGAGACTTAACATTTGGAAGATGAGTTTTGCTGCAAAAGAAAATTGCATATATATATATACATGTAAAGAGAAAATAATATAATAAGAATAGCAAATCGCAATGTTAAGCAGGCTAAATAATAATATTTTATATATATTAGATGAAAGATGTTTCTAAAATTCTAGGAATTATCCTCTAAATTTTATTTTTTATCAATATCGTAGTTAAACTATTTAACACACATTTATCACATTTAACACAAAACTATAATATTTTTTTCGTAGGCGATGTTGAAAAATTTTTCCAATATCTTTTATCTATTGATTTATAAATCGCACTAGATTCCCAAAACTTTAAAAATATCGCTTGTAAATATTTTATTTCTCTCACCTACTAGTACCTATCGTACTTATTTTAACGTCGACTCGCATCTCCGAGTGATTTTGTAAATACATTATTACGGGGATGATGCACAATCGGCTTTGCCGAAAATCATGTGCAACTTGCCTTTGGTGACTGAGAGAAAACGAGATTAGACTTTTCAGACATTCTGTTTCCAATATGGGATCCTTAAGAGGAACAATTACTGCATTTGATACGTTTTGGTCCGGACCGAAAATTTTTAAACGAGCGCCATATTCATTACGTTCAGTGCGCGGCTCCTTCGGATGATTGTATGTCTTGTTTAAATGCTCGAGCTCGAGGTGATGCTGTCCGATTGCCATCCGAGTAATCATACCGCTCTCCGTCACGTTGGCACACCATTTGACAATCAGTGTAGAATTCAGTGCCATGACATCCGATACAGAATTGCGCTCAGCATTTTGTTGCGATTGAAATTGTTGCGCGTCATTTGCACTTTCATTCATGTCCAGCGATTGAATATGACGTCTTTGTATAAAATTAATAAATGGATAACTGTCAGTCAATGTCTCGCCGGCTTCCTTGGGAGTTAAAGACACGCTTGAAATAATCGACTCGCCGTCAGCTTTCCTCTTCTTCAGCTTCAGCATCAGATGGAATACCTCTTGAGGTTGTACCTTTATGCTTGGCGGCAGAACCGAGGAGTGAAACGTGGACCATACAGTACTCTGAAGTGATACTTCTGATAAAATAATCTCATTTATGGATGGATCTTGAACTTGATTAGTATTCTTAACGGACATGATTAAATTTAACGTTGGCGAGTCGTCCTTGAATAATCTGCTTCTAGCGGCAATCGCGGTAATTTGTATCGAGTCCAACACCGTTAATTGCCAAGTGTGCCGGCACAAACGGTGTTTCAAAGTAGCTTTTGATTCGACGCTTTCGTAGTAGAAGAGCAGATCTAATCTGTAAGTGCCTTTTATGTGGGGTGCTTGCACCCAAAGTGGCATTTTGTAAGTCTCGCCCACATTCAACATATCATTTTTGGAGACTGGTAATGTCACCTTTGTGACTAACTTACTGCTCTTCTTTGCAATTGAATCTGCAAATAAAATATTGTTACATTTGATAAACCATATAATAATAATAATAATAATAATAATAATAATAATAATAATAATGGCATATTTTAGACGGACGAGAAATACAAAGATATCTTATCTACAAAAACAAAGTGATAAAATAAAATATATGTCTTAAAGACATATGCTTACCTTCATTTGCGAATTTATCAATTTCTGTATTTCCTAATGTAAAAAGTTTCGCGTCGGTGGATGCGATGTGTATGTTCATTAACGGTGCATTACCTACATTCTTTAACGTAACTTCTACCCTTTGTACCTCGCCACATAGCATTTCTGGCGATAGTTTAGTGAAGAATATCTGCGAAGAGGAATACGAATTTCAAATTTTTGTATCATATGACATAACCGTCTTTTCGTAAAACTATACCTGCATAAATGCCGCCTTCTCTATCACATTCATCTCCAGCCTATAATCCTTCCCATATATATTCACACCGGGTTTCTCTTTGATATTTTTTAGTTTGGGCGGCGTAATCTCAAATAATCTCTTACCGGCGACAATGGTCGAATTTGCTATCAATGAATCGCTTATCATCTGTACTGAATTGAACAATTTATAACTTATACCTAAGATCTTCAATTCGCCTACTCGCTTGGGCGTAAGAGACAACACGATATTCTGTTTGCATGCTGGTTGCAACAAAATTGCATCTATAATGTCCGAATCGATCGGACTTGAACTATCGGTCGTTTTTGCTTCATTCGTGACAGTCTCGTTATTGCAAGTGAATGACCACAACAGTGTCATGTCTGATAGTGGTAGTGGTATGTGTAACGGATTGTGCAACTCAATGGAATAATGCACAGGTTCGCCTAAAACTGCATTGGGTTTTACGGAGTTATTACTTATTCTAGAGTATAGCGCAATTGTTGGTTT